CAGATATACTCGGGCAAAGTATCTCTTAACAGGTCTTCGTTGGTATTCTTCTCCTTCTCTATCTCAATACTTGTAACCTAGCAATAATTCATGTTGGGTGATTAGCATTTTAACGTCGAAGCCCTTACTATCTTAACCTATTCTCTATTCATTTACTCCACTCATCTATCTAAGCATACTTATTTCCGTTACACGAATTCGTTGTTTTTCTTTTTTGTGATTTGCCTATCATTTATAACATAACTGAACTTCTTATCGGATTATTTAAGAATCATTAATTGTTGGGTCCCACTATAAAATGACATTCAAATAATCGGCACTTATATTGCTTATAATGAAACTTATACGGTTCACTGACCACAAACGTATTTCTTTGAAATTTCTGCACGTTCTTAAATTACGGTTACAGGCGCGTACCACCCCTCTTCAAGTTACATATTTGTACCTCAGTTGTGTATCTATATCCATTTTATTCAATTCTGAACCTTTTTACACACCTGTATTAATAATTTAAATAATAATTAATTTTAACCAAACGCGTTGAGGTAAATGACTGTAGATACAAATGTTCATTATAATATTGTTTACCACATCTTAATACTATTGAGTTTATGGTTTTATTAATTGTAATGGTTTATTATTCTTCCGATGCCAGGGCTTCTACACTTGGATTACATTGTTCATTTTAAACATTTTGACCTCCCAAGACGGGGTCCATTGCTATTACTAAAAATTTTGTTTTTAATTACACCCATTTGGCTTAAGTCAAGAGTTTCTCGTATTTGAATTCAGGTGTATCTTGCCTTCATAGAGTACAATTGTTCACGGAATCAATTTACTATTGAGGAAAACAGTTTGGAATTAAATTTGCAGTGTTAGGATTCGGTGATTTTGACGAGTTTGATTGCCTCGGGGAATTTTTTTTTAAACGTCACGCTCATACAATTGCTGGAGTGTTGTAACGGGCGAGTGAGAAGGAAGGAAAAATTATTATGACTTGTAATAAGTGTGGATAACGGGAAAGGCGTTCGGTCATTATAATCACAGTTACATCTGAAAGTTGCTTTGCTCGAATTGTTAGTTCACAACATCAACGCGCAAACAATGCATCCCTGTGGGGCCATGGCTTCAGGTAAAGGCTGACGTTTCAACTGTGATGCTTTTTGAAGAAGAGGGATTGTTAGTGTTATGCTTTCCTGGGTTTCAACGTCTTTCACGAGCTTTGCACAACAATGTTTTATATGGTGTCAATGGAAAAATTTTCAGGTGGTGAGATCTGCAGTTATTGACAGATCAAATTTTTAAATGACTGGGTTGGAAAATGTGTGGGCCTACACTAAGGTCAGGCTATAGCGTTGATTGAAATTTTTAAAAGCTGACGTGAGGGGGTTAGGTTTTTAGACTGACACTCTGATCACAACAGTTAAAATAAAGTTTTTTAAAGGGGAGATAAAGAATGTCTCCGGTCGGTTCAAACTCTCAAAAGAGCGTGTTACACCTCTTGTTGCAGCCAACATGGTCCGGTTTCATAATAGGAAAGCTTTTGGTTATAAGGAATAAAGTAAACATGCCGCGCTGTTTTAAAAACGTAAAAAATCTCCTCTCTTAATTACGATTTCAATAAAAAAGCCTGGATTTCGGCTACTTTTGATGAAAAGAATTTAATAATTACTATCTAAACATGGGAATTCATCATGTTCACAGTCATTATACATTCTTCGTAGGATTGTGTTTGTGGTTCATAAATTAGGCTTCAGCAGCTCGGGACAGTTTGCTTGATAATATTTTCTCCACTGCGGTCGACGGTTCCATCTTTTATATGTATTGCCGCAGTTATACTGTTTAGTGAGAAGCTTTTTTAGTAATGTCCCCGCCCATCGCTGTGGAGAATCTTCCGCGTTGGCGTTTTTTGAGTGTCTGAGGCCTTTCCTGGGACCTCGCAACCGCTCCATTTTGGTAGATCCTCTTCGATGGATATGGCCAAAGAACTTTATAATTCTAGAGTAAACCGGTACGGGGAGAGACGGTAGATCCACGGTTGAATCTTCATCCAGGACCGAGATTTTTGTACGGCGTGCGCAGTCCATGGGAATTCGAAAGCAGGCGTTGCCATGGCCCCATTTTCAAAGGCGTCTATACGTCGGTCGAATCTGATTTCTTTGACTTGTCCATGTCTACGCGATGCAATAGGAAAATATGGGAAAAAGACCAGTCGTTTGAAACGAGTCTCGTTTTGTTTGTCATTGTATGTGATCGGATCACGGCCTGAACCCCGTTTAGGTTCTCTCACTTTGCTGCTCTTGCGAGTTGAATGCGGTCTTCTAATTTTCGGATTCACAACTCGCCTGTGTTGCTTATACTAGGAGCTCCTAAGATATATTCATAGATGAGGTCTAACCTTCGCATCCCGCAATAGTCTTGGTGGGGTTTTTCAGGACAAAATGGTGTTGGCGATCACAATATCCATGATTGTTGGTTTTGTGTGTAGTTAACCATGAGTCCATAATTTAGCACTTTCTTACCTCGTGTTTTTTTATTGAATCTAGTAATTTCTTCTGGGTAGTAGTGGCTAGAAGTGTAGTGTCGGTCTGGCGTAACGCATGTTTAGTATATCTTAACACCACCTTAGGTTTACTCCTCCCTCCCAACCATCACAAAACTCTGTCGCAATTATGAAGCTCCGGAATAGATGTTAAATATATAAGGGAGATAAAACGCATTCCTTGGGCGCGTACTCCCTTCTCCATCTGCTGGCATTTGTCAGTCAGATAATCCGTCCATTCGAATATAATTGCCCTGGTTATACTTTGCTACAGTTTAAGCTTTATTAGGTGAGTCAATGTGTTTTAGGTACAACCCATTGTCGTCAATTATGTGCCATAGTTTGTCCCTATTAACATTATCAAAGGCCTTTGTATAATCGACGAAACAATTCGGGATAATGGGAAATTTAAAATGAGAAATAAGCCACAAATAAAAGTTAATTTACGTTTATTGACGTTTCAATTTCCACTTCGGAAATCGTTCTCAAAATACATTTTTTTATGTAAAATTATTTCTTATTTAAATAGTAATTACTTTAAAATGTCACAAGAAAATAGCTTCAGAACAATATTAAAACTTTAATAAAATGGGACAGTGAACTGTTACAACAAAAGAAATACACAATTTTTATTTGTCGAGCAAACTGTCCTGTCCCACCCCCCCGAGTTGGACAGATTTAAGAAACATATCTTATACTCTGTTTTTATGCCTCCAAATTGTACGTTTCGTACTGGTTAGCTCATTGAACCCAGAGAGTTATAAGAAGTCTTAAAGCATACATTTCAGAAATAACTTGGTTTGTTACGAAATCATCGAATTAGAGAAGAGCACAATAACGTCGATTTACAAAAGTCGGTTATTCTTGTCGCTTATATCTAATGATATCAACGGCATATGGGATATCTGTGCGGGAAGGAAAAAACGATACATCGGACTGTTTTTTTCTTTCTGGGACTAATTAATGACTTATAATCACCAGGAATCGCATACACAACGATATTGCACAACACGACATTTGCAGGATTGCCGTTTCCCTTGTCAGTTCTGAGCTGCTCTTGCAGATGAGTATATACGAGTGGATGACGACCGGAATTAAGTACAGAGCGAAGAAGACTGTCAGTCTGAATATTTGACTTCGTTACTGAGGTCACCAGAACTAGTGTCAAACAAAAGTACCTGATGAAGGCTAATGAAGTAGATTTGGATGATTTCGGGTAACAATTACACTTCTGGTTGCCGAAGGGTGTATGTCGGCTTGTTTCCACCATAAGGAGCATTTATTCAGGAACTGCTGAAACTGTCCAGAGTGTGATGAAGAGATCATTATCGATTGTTTCCACATCAATTGAAAATAATGTTTTTCTCAGAAGTCAAGGATGGAGAGCGTAAACAAAAACAAAAAGACTTTTTTCATTAAATATTCTGGTAAAAATGTGTGTATTTACATATTTTGTCACTACACAAATGTATGTGTTTTTCTTTGTATTTTTTTAAAAATAATATGTAGGATTTGAATGCATCTTCCAAGAAACAACAATATCTCCTTCTTTATTTTTCTAACATTTTTGGTTTGCTTGATATAGTTTTTTAAATTATTAATCATGTTTAATATATCAAAATGCGATTTTGTCATCCATTATATCCAAATGCGTTACTGCAACTTTCCACGTATCACTACATAATGGTCCTAAAGCATTCACTATTACCTTTTTGACAATCAAAAACCAACCTATCTCTCTTTTAATTATAGAAGATCGAACCTTGATTTTAGTTGTTGATTTAAAATTAATTTTATTTAGGCTTGTTAATGTCTCCAATAATTTAACAAAAAACTTGCTGTTCTGCTGACAAAGTTGCTTTGACAGATACATAAGTTATCCAAATACTTTTTGATATTTTGAACATGCCCTTAATCACTTTTATTTCTTTGTGGGTGATAGGAAGATTGCCTTTAAAGACGGTCATTACCATTCACTATGACAAAAAATTGATTAAATTCTATTGAGTTTAAAGTTGGGACCACCATCATCTTCAACCGATTCGTATCTGGTAAATGGTGTGTGACCAAAAATAGTGTGAAGATTTAACTTTTGAATTGTTGATTCAATTAAGTGGTTCTTTGATGTTAAACTGAATGTCAGGACCATCATTGATTTACAAACATTTTTAAACTTAAAAATTGTGGTGTGTATTCCCATCAGTTTAAAAAATAATAGGTTGCATAAACATGTTACTCCATTTTTCTTCTAAAAAATAAAAAATGTATATATAATTGAAAAAGTACCACTATTTATACTTACATCTTAGACTAGGATATTTCCAACTATTTTTGCTCATAAGTATTTTTGTTCGCAATATAACTATATGAGCCTCATAAAAAATTCTCAAAATGCATTTGCGGAAAATCCCACTCAACTACACATAATTATATTTAATAATTGCTAATAATTTTTCAGACTACATAATAAACAATGAAAAGTGCAAAATGCCCAACTTTCCCGCGTGTTCTGAAGAAGTCAACCCATTTTACATTAGTTTGCCATACATCAATTGCTCCGATTCAAATCTGTTGACATACACCACTGTGGAAAACAATACGGCTCTTACTTACATATTAACAGAGAAAATCTTGATCAGTACTATTTCATCTCGAGACATGATCGATTGCTGTTACAGCTATGTACGGAGGGACGGATCTGACAATTTTCCAGATACTGGTATAAGGTAAGTGAGAGAAAATTGGATTTGAAAATTCTGTTGGGACTACAGTTATAAAGTAGTTTTTTTTAAGAAGTTTGGGTTGCCACTGTTTAAAGGATGACTCTTTTTCGGATCTCATGTAATTTGTTTGTCATTTTAATGTAAAGCCAATGTTTATTACATACATCTATATCTGATATCGGTAGAATCTTATTTTTTATATTTTCTCCGCTCGATTAATTCTCATTTTGGTACAAGGCATCTGCCACTTTTATCCCGGTCATTGCCATTTGATCCCAAACATATAAAACTTCTCATCAGACATTTATTTAACACCTCGAAATTCAATATTTAACTATCTTTTTACTCATAGATAGGGTTAATTTCTTGTATTTATTTGTTAAACTTACTACTTTCTACTGCACTTTTACTATGTAAAAACATTACAATGTTCTTCAGTTTCTTTGTCAAAATGTGAGAAAGGAGAAACTTTAATGCCAGCATTTCGGCTGTGTAGTTGATGGCTTCATCAGGCAATTTATATTTATACTGTTCCCCAGAATTCTACTGGCTATACTGCGAATTCAGTTATTATTTCCTTTCTTCGAACCTTCAGTCTATACATATAATAATACATAGTCCATTCTCTTCTGAATTTTTGCTATTTAACCCTCTGCTGGGCCACCTTTTTATTAGAAAACTGCGTGGTTCACAATAAAGGGGTTCAATAAATGTGCCACATTGAATAAGAATTTATATTTTACCCGGAAGTCTTCGACATTCAGTTAGATTTGGCATTATCGCAGGATCCACAATCCACTTAACATATCTTCTGGCATTCTTGGTTGAACAACCTCTGGTTATTGTTGCCTACTTATTTGGTCTTTTCTCTTCTAGTTTTTGCTAATTTGCAATCCTGTATTGCATCGTCCCTTTCCCTTCTTGGAATTGTATTGATGGGTTACAACTTGGTAATGTTTGCGTTCGAGTATATTTTTTCATGGCATTACATACAACAAATGTTGAAAAGTCCATTTATATTTGCTAGTTCTTCTTTCAATTAAACCAGTGTAGCTTTTAATTCAAGTCCTAATTCTTGCAGAGCAGAAACAATTGTCGACGATCTGCTCTTATTTTCGTTACCAAATTTTTAAAATTAAGAATTAAATAAAGAGTACACAGTGATTGCTGCAATATCCTCAACAAAAAAGTGATAAGAACATTGAACGTGGCCATCTATCCCGTCTCGATCGCTTCGATGTATATTATTGCTGCGGTTTGGATAGTATGAGGAAGTGTAAGTATACTTTGGTAGGCCTTCTGATGTAAGGTTACATAAGAAAGAAGAGTAATTGTGTTGAGCTTTGCGGGACATTTGGATCTGGGAGAAAATGCAAAACATATTGGAATATAATTCGTCTTCCTTCCTTTTTTTTAAGGACTTTTGGTATATGTCTGCGATTTTGTTGAAGATGAGTGCCAACCTAATGTCAGGATTAAAGTGATTGAGATCTTCTGGCAAGTTCTTACAAAAAGTCCGTCGTTACGTTACATCTGGTGTTTATCATATCAGAGACAGTAATTCTTTTTATTGTTCCCTGTGGACCGTTAGTTGCTGGTGTGCTGTCTTTTATATATATTTTTTCATGCTTAAATATTCACATACGCAAAACCGTAAACGAGCTGGAACAATCTGCATGTATTCATATATATGAATACCATATTTACCAGGCGCTTTTACTTCATAAAAAACTCTTTAATAAACGGGACAATTCTGCTCAGAAATGAAGTTTAACCTTTTTGTCTATTTACAACGTTCATTTTTTTTAAACCCTTTTCTCTATTCGGATTGCCGAATATGGGCCTCTCCTAATTCTCGCCATTTCATCTCTTTTGTTAGTTAGACGTATTTCACAATGGGCACTGCAGTTCTTTTAATATAGTCGTTTTCCAGCGCATTTGCGGTCTTCCTCGTGTGTCTTTTGGCTTCTTATGGCCCGCCAGGTTTTTCCCCGCATTTTCTTTATGTCCAATCGTCCATCACTTAAAGACGTTCGTTATGTTCCAACCCATTTTCCCATTTGCTATTTTGCTGCCTTGTTCGACAGCATCTTTTACTTTTTGTTCTATTACGAATTGTCCTCTTTGGTTTTTATGGTCCTTTTAGTGAGATACCCAGCATCACCTGTCGTTCTACAGCTCTCCCCTGTTGGATCTTTAGTTTTAGTTTTGCTGAAAAGTCATTTATCAGTCCATTTTTTGTAGGGATTCTGTGTGTACGCTCTTCAATCATCGTTTTCAGTGGAATTCCTCGTGTCGGCATCTTTGTACTTCATTCATCTGCGTATCTAACTAAAATGGTTTCAAGTATCTTGTGTCTATTGGGGATTTCCTTTTTTCCCTATCTTAATTCACTTATTAAATATCCTTCTAGTGCAGCGGACTAAATAATTTTGTAGAGCTATTGTGTCTCCTTGTCTTTACGTATTGGGTTGATTTTTACTGGGTCTTGTTTCGATTCACATTATCCCAACGTCCACTATATTTTCTGCTTGTTGTTCGTCAACAATTATGTATTAATATTCTGTTTCTGAAGTCGATCCGGTTATTGTTCATAATGCCTTTTCTATTGCCCACAGTTTTTTTCTACGCTATCAAGAAGCTTTTTTTCATAATCATATAAAAGCCAGACATAATTGGGAGATTGTATTTCGTTAGTTTCTTTTCTTTTAGGATTTTCTAGTGTATTACAGAGTACATTTCTAAATCCGGCTTGTTCTACTATTTGTAAATATTATTTGTAAGGGTTTGTAAAGTTGTAAAATAAGTTCAATTTGGTCGAGAATTTTTTCAGGGTCTGTAGGTCGTCTTTCTTTTTTGTTTATTAGTATTGTCTTAGCATGTATTCGCATTGTGTGGCGTATGTTGCCTTGGGCAATAGACATTTATGTAAATAGTATTTTTAGATATGTTGATGGCTTCTTCTCCGCCTTCTCAGCATATTTCCTGCATTACTAGGAATTCCACCGCTTTCAGGAGCTTTATTCACTTTTTTATTTCTTTTATAACATAAAAAATGTTTCATTTACCTGGTGTAAAATATTTTTTAAATGTTTAGTTCAGCAATTTTTTGACCACAAAATGTGTGATTAATATCAATGTTAGGTAGTCTTCATTAGTCTCCTATCCATAATGAAAATACCGAGTAAATTAAAATCTCGGTATCATCTGTTTTTGGCACGTTTTTACGTTCAGCTTCTTTAATGGCAAGCATTTTGCAGTATTTCCGGAGTAAATAATTTTTAGAAGGACTACAATATATTGTCTGCCTTCGTGTCAAAGTCCTGATTGTTCACGAAAAATGTTTGGTACAGCTCGTCGCACATAGGGGCGTGGTGGGTGGTCTATGTAGATTCCATCACAGTGTACATAAATTGTGTACAAACTGGAACTATCCTCACTTGAATGTTGTCGTCTTCATTGAACACTTTAATATGGTCTCCACTTTGCACCCACGCCTAAGTCACACCGGAGAACTAATGTCTGACCAAACCTCAAAATCAGGGAGGTTTTCCACCACTTCTTCTAACTCTTTTTGCGTTAAATATTTATTCATTATTTTAAGATTTTTAGAGACAAAAATATTTAGAAACTTGTACGTAATGTTGTGTATACTTTTTATCCACCCTTTGGTTCCTTCATTAGGGTTATTTTTAAACAATGGGTATGATGGAACATTTTATAAGTGTTTCTGTCCACCACGTAATTTGGGAAATTTAGTGATAGAGATGACCTTATATAGAACTTCTTTATTAACGTATTTTGAAAAGTATTCTCTGTAGTTTTCTGCCAGAAGTGGAGATTTTTTTTCGAAACACCAATTATCTTTGTATCCTGATGTCGGGACGGAGTATGCCGTGTATATTGTCGTAACTTAAAGTTAGTTATAAATTATTATTCAGTTTTGTTTATGTTTTTGGTATGTAGCTAATTTGAAAGGTGTAAAATGCTGTTAATTTTCCTTAAATTAATAGTATTTTAGACTTTTAAATCGAATTCTAATTTTGGTATTTACAAAAGTTCTGTTTTTAGTTTTTCTACTTGTCTACCATTCAACTCAACATTGGCTCTAGAACAAGATATTGTTTCGGTAAAACTGTTACTCTTGACGTCCTGATATATTATATGAGATATCGTCCTTACCACAATAAGTAGTTACGGAAGCTGTGAAACAAAAACTTAGCAAATTTGCTGTACAAAAAGAATCAAAGAGAAGACCATTAAGTGTTTTGTTTGTGGTTATAGACAGCGTTGCTAGATTGAATTTTGAGAGAACGATGCCGTTAACGAGGGAGTTTATATTGGAAAATAACTTTACAGAGTATATGGCTTACAGCAAGATAGATGTTTAATAACATTTTCCTAATTTTAATGCATTACTAACAGGTAAGTCAATAATAATAAAATTTAATTTTGGGACAGTTGTTTATCTTCTTATAACTACATTGAGATTAGGACATTGTTGGTTTGAACATTGGGTATTGTGTGACCATCTTGTTTCGTGGTTTTCCCATTTATTACTTTTTCACCTCAAAGCTTGCGATTCAGTATTTGTTGAGTAGTTTTTGAATTATCCTTTTTTAATCATATCATCCCATCATAATTACATTCATTTTAATTGTGTACAAAAATTATGATATTACCAAACAACTAGATTGCTCCTTTTTTTTCTGGAGGTGTGTGTAAAAGCGTATGAGTTTTTCTAGTACACAAATGTTGTAACTGCAAAAAAATATATGATTTGAGTTATTGAAAATTTAAATAGTTCTTTAGTCCGCACATAAATTCCACAGTAATGTTCTAGGATATTCTAATATGCTTTCCATAAATTAGGCTGTAGTGTTCATCATTAATCATGATGGTAACCTCGGAAATCCCTTTTTTGGGTGGGTGCTAGAAAAGATAACCAATGGAGGACACTGCGGGAACGGCAGCCAGATGGGTTGGTGGAGATGCGAGTCGTGGGTTCAAAACTAGCTTTTGGAACCGGGAATGGATCCAACGGAAGAAATAGGTAAAGATAGGATAAGAGATATTAGAAAGATACAGAAATAAATAAAAAGTAGATGGGTAAAATTACCAAAGATTAAGAGAAAGAAGAAGAAACAGGGCCACTCAATTTTTGGGGTTTAAAGGAAGAAAATTAAGAAAACCTTAGAAAAGAAAAGAGATAAGAAAAGATATTTTAGGTTCAGAGATCAAACCCAAGGAAATATACAACAGTAATTATAAATTAATCTGGTCAACGCCAATATAATAAACAAATTAATAAATATATTAAGTTTTACACTTTAAACCTTTTACCGACGAAACTTAATCAGGCCTGATCCTTTCGTACTGGTCTTAAGATGCATAGTAATATTTAAAGTTAGTAATTTGTTCAGAGCTATTATTTTATCAAAGGGAAACTTGTTAGTGAGCCGACAAATAATATACACATGCATAAAACAATAACAATATATTAAAACCAACCCATAAAAATAAAATTTTTTTTTTTGTTGTGCTGCTAAATTGCAACAACAGGTAAATAAAAATCACACAACTATGAAATGGTGTTATATATGTCATAAAAACTAAGCAATAATGTAATAAACTAAATACCTTTACCAAGATATATAAGGCAATCATTAGACAAATATAGTTTGGCGCTGTATCTCGAGACGTCATAGGAAAGATAATCGAACAAAAATTATAAGGAAATATAAAAGATAGCAAAAAAATTACTTTACTAACTCTAAATTTACAAAAAAAAAAAAAAACAAAAAAGGTTTACAAAGTATGAAAACCGTAACCAAACCGCACTTGGGCTTAACTGGTCAATTAAACTAACTCCGCACCTATTATTTATATAAAAAACTGAGACTTGTATGGTCATAGGTATTTTTTATAAGAAAATTTCTTGAGTTGGTTCCTTTAACATTCAAAAATCGGCAATCCCTTCAGGTGATGTTATAGATGTTACGTCCAGATTAATTGGCAGGTGATATTGATTTACCATACACATATTACTTCGACTCAGTATAAATTGTTAGATAAAAGTACTCTACAGTAGATCTTGACGAAGGCAGCTTAATTCACTGAATTTAACTACTTTTCTGGATACATAAAACACTGAATTTACATAATCACTTAAAGGTAGTGATAGAATTTATATAATTTAATATTAGTCTAAGGTATGAAAACTCAAATCATAAAGTGTATACACACTTCGAATATAATTCTCCAAAGACGATACGTTAAGAAATTATAAGTTGAAGAGCAAAGCGTAACACGAGATATTCAGCCTTAACATGAACCACGGCCCTACCAACATAGTAACACGGAGGATATTACCTCAATCAACAAGGTGCCCACCGTGACGTTGTACCTTGGTTCCACTCAAAAATTTCTCCATACTGTCCACTGAAAGTGGAAATTAGAAATATTCACCCACTCAAGAAACTGAATTGGACCAGGTTGTATGTATTTCTCAGAAGGGAAGGCCTTAACGACTATTGGAAACTGTTGAGAGAAAATTAATGCCGGTATTATCAAATTGGACATAAGAAACAGACAATTCTTGGGATTAAGTTTTTGTCAAAAGGAAGACGAAACGGGTTTCGACTTCGGACGAAAAAAATATACCAATTTATGAAATAGGAAAACGGCATACCCACAAAACGCATTATTCTCTTTTCATAATGGACGGAAGGATTAATTAATAACACTTTCCTAAGTTGGGATATTCCAATTTTTAGTCTGGGATTACTATTCAATATTTTGCTATCGATACCACGATCATAGGCGTATCATTCATACATTCATCTTTGGACTCGACAATCCTCTGTGGCATCTTGGCCCCTGCTCTAAGATTCGTCGCCATTCTGTTCGGATTTTTGGTCAACATGTTGCCTTCTTCTGATTTTTAATATTCGTTAGGTCGGTTTCTTACTCCATCTAACACACCTATTCTCGCGGTCTGCGGTCCTTTTGCTTCTTGTTCCTACAGGTGTTCCTCGCTGGTTAGACTTTTTTTAGCCAAGGGTATTTTTCTGGCTTTCGATATTATGTGTCCAGCCCATCTAAGTCGCTGTGTTTTAATGAACGTTTATGTACATTCTGGCTCATCAAAGAGCTGATACACATTCAAATTTATATCTTATCTGCGCCACTGCACCTTTGGTCGCTGTTACAGCTCCAAATATTTTGGGAGTATGTTACGCTCCCAATTATTCCCCAAATAGTCTTTCATCTTTCTGCGTTAATGTCCATGTTTCTTGCTCCATATGTGAGGACCGGCCTCAGCAATGTTTTGTATATAATAATTTTAGTTCTTCTCTTGAATGTTTCTTGAGTGGAAATGCTTTTGGATGTCCATAGTTATGCTCTATTTGTAAGATTTTATTCGTCTTTTGATTTCTTCGCTTGTTTTATTGGTAGCAGTCAATAGCGACCCAAGGTATGTGAAGTTGTCAACACGTTCAAAGGTATGACTTCCAAAGACTGTTTCTCGTTCCTCATTTGCTGTCGGATCCTTTGTAACCAACATGTACTTGGTTTTGTCTTCGTTGATGACTAGACCGACTTGTTTCGCCGCTGTTTCCAATTCTAGGAGATATTGCTCAACATCTCGCTTGCTACGCCCTATTATGTCAATGTCATCAGCATATGCTAAGACTTGTATCGATCTATTGTAAATAGTACCCGCCGTCCCTAATTCGTGTATCTCGGACTGCCTTTTCTTAAGGCAATATTAAATAGGAGGCAAGCCAGAGCGTCTCCTTGTCTGAGTCCATCCTTTATCTCAAAGGATCTAGAACTCTCTCCCTGTATTCTAACAGTGGCTTCTAAGTTAGACATTGTCATTCTCGTTAGTCGGATAAGTTTCTCTGGTATACCAAACTCATGCATTGATTGGTATAGCACTGTTCTCTTGACACTGTCATATGCTGCCTTGAAGTCGACGAATAGGTGATGGGTTTCAATATTGAATTCTAATGTTTTTCTCGAGAATCTGTCTTATTGAATGAATCTGGTCAATTGTTGATTTTTCTGGAGTGAATCCAACTTGATATTTACCAACTATGCCCACTGTGTAAACTTGCAACCTTTCGTAGAGAATATTTGCTAGTATTTTGTAAGCAGTTGTTAACAGGGTTATACCTCTATAGTTGTCACACTGGAGCTGGTCACCTTATGATCTTATGGGGCTGATCATAGGCGATATCGCACGGGGGTAAAAGGAATTAGAAATATTTAATATATTAATAATAAAAAAAAATGTTACAATGAAAATGCTAATTTGTTATATTTGATTATTTTGTACTAAAAATTTTAAAAAATTATCTGAAATACATGTACTTACCACATTTGGTGCAATAATTTTTTTTAATTGTACATTTGACGTAACACAATTATGTGCTAAAAAACGACAGGTACCAATTATTTTATACTCTTATGTAAATTAATTAACAAAATTTAAAAGGAGACAATTGATAAAGTATTCTCTAACATTAATCGCTATTTTCAAGGTAACTTACATTTAGCATCATGGCTTCATTCGTTTGTGGAAGTTATTTTATTAAGTTTTCATAGTTCTCTGGGATAACTGTCTTTTCTTAAAGAAACACTAGGTCCTTTTTCTTTTTTTGGGAAAGGCGATGTGTATTTTCTGTTTAAAATAACCGATTCCCATTTCTTTTTTCATCCCTGCTTGCCTTTGTTTTACATACCGATTTCAAAAAAAGCTTTCTTCTGTAAGGTTATACTTGTATTGTATAATGTTAGGAGTTTCCTTCTGAAAACGAAGCCACTTATTCTGAGCAATTAACTTTTTTTTTATTTGTATTTAGTGTTCTGTCAAATACAGTATCTTCAACGAGTTTTAGCAAATTGAAAAAATCAGTGAATTTCATATTAGTGACATAATATTCCCTAGGTTTTAGCCTGGCCGTCGAAATTACTAAACACCATTCACGTGTAGAGTAAATTTTCTTATGACGTTTGGCCCTCTCTATCGTGGAGTGCATCGAGTCTGCCTCTAGATATGACTGTCCAGTCTCCATAACTTTTAGGTCAATAATCTTTAAATTTATTTCTTCCGGTTTCCGGTAAATTCATTAGATATTTCAACAAGCAACTATCAATTTCAACACTGCCTTTATTTCCATGTGTTTCATCTCAAACCAAACAGTGCCCATCGACTTGTTCCTTATCGTTCTTTTTTTTTTCACTTTGACATTAAAGTCACCAATTAAATTCTTGAAGTGACTTTTGTTATTTAATGCTTCATTTATGTTACTGTATAGTTCCTCTATTTCTTCGTCAGTGTGAGTAATAGATGGGGCGTACACTTGTCTAATTTGTATATTCTGTCTCTTTGATAGTCGTAAGGTTAAGCTAGCTACTCTATCCGAGATACTAGATAAGTCAATCTCGCCTGTTCTGCCCGTTGATGTGACTCGGTAGTAGAATGTGTTTTCTGACTCTAATTCCAATAGATCTTCTTCTTGCCGTCATACTTCGCTGATTCCTATCACGTCGCATTTTATATTTTCAGTTTCTTTTTCCAGTTCTTCAAGTCTGTATTGATTTGATATCGCGCGGCAGTTATATGTCGCTATATAAAGCGTTGTTGTTTTATTTGAAGCGGTTTAGACTCCGCAGATTCTTAGCAACCTCTGCCCTCCTCGCTTGATCCCGAAAGCTACCCATTTTAGGACTATTTGGGACTACATAGTATGAGTGCCATGATTTAAATGTGTTGTTAATGTTAAGGGTTGTGAGGCGTAGCTTATCAATCTGCCTCAGTGCGGGTTGGTATCATGGTTATTGTTCTTTCTTTTTTGTTGTTCCAAATTTTTTTGTTTTTAGAGGAGCATTTTTGTACTTATATATTTTTTGTATTTTTCTTTAATTTCGGTCTTTAAAAACTTGATTATTATATTATATTTTTTGATGCTTACTTTTTTCTTTCTTGTATTTTTTTGATTTGCTTTAAAAAGCATATCTTTCTCAGTTTATACACAGATCCAATAAATGCGACTTAGAATCATATATTATTATTGTAGCGCTTATTAATAGATATTTAAATTTCCAGGTCTAAACCTAAAGCAATCAAATGAAATTTGCAAACCCTATGAGGTTGGACAGCTGGACAAATGTCCGATGATCTGGTACGATTTCAGAGACTTAGGATACGCGACTGCATATGCGGAAGACTGGGCCGAGATCTCCACATATAATTACCTAAAGAAAGGATTTACAAATCCGCCGACAGATTATTACTTTAAGCCATACATGGAAGCTGCATAAGGGATAGGCACTATGTATATCGACACTATGCCGTTTTGTGCTGGACCAGAAACCCAAGGTAAGTAAAAATGCATACAGGTTTTGTTAAATTGTTTGTTTATTTCAATATTATTTATTTAAATAGGATATTTAAAATTAATATATCAGTTGCTCATTAAGTTCTAATTATAACAGAGTTTTATAAAGAACTCTAAAAGTTTCATCGAAATCTTCTCTTTTAGTTCAGGACAATGACTTTAAATTCTGACATTTGTTCATAAGACCTTTAAACTAAACACTGTTTGTTTTTCATTAAACTCCATTATGTCCTGTGTTCATGACCTCAATGGTATAAAAATTGTATGGCAGTCTCCTCTTCCATTTCTCATTTTCTACACCATGGTTCATTCACCTTACCATTCTTTACAACCAGAATAGCCGCATGGCTTTTTAGATAAATGTTGATTCCCTTTGTTATGGGATTTCCCGTCAGGATCTCATCAATGCAGGCTACGAAAACAAACACTTTAGCCTAGAACACAGTTGTATATTAACCTAGGCTCTAATATTTGACTGGGACTTTTCGTCCTCTAGATGGCATAATTGTAGATGAACTCCGATATTAGCCACTCTTTCGGAATTTCCTCAGTATAGTAAATTTCATTGAATAGTTCTACTGGTATATCAATGTGGTTGTATGCTAGTAGTCTTAAAATGTCTGCAGGTATTTTCCCCTTTGGTAATGGTGGGTCCATTTCTACCTCTTGGTTATATTTTCTCCAATATTTCGTCGCTTTTTCCAATATCGAATATATTCTTCCATCTATTTATTTTCTCTGCACTTTTAAATATTATTATTATTTTTTTATTGTGGTTCCAATATCTCTCCAATATACCAGCTGTTTCTTTAATTTTCCTATATATTATGTTAAAGCTGTCATATTGTTTTTCTAAATTTCTGCACATTTTTTTGATAGCCACAATAACTTTGATTGTTTAATTGTTTTATTTACGTTTTGTATTGTTGTTCGTTTTTATTCTTGTATTCCTTTATATCTTGTTTTTTTTTATTCTTTTATCCTTTCCTATAGCAATGACTTTATTTCTTGTGTTATCCATTGTTTGCTTTTAGTTTTTAGGGAATGTATCGCCTAAAATTTGATAGTGACATTAGTTCGACGCCATTTCGGTGGTCTCTTGAGTGCACCATTTGAATTTTTTTGTCATACTAAGATGACTAAATGATTATTTATTTTAAAAAAATTTACCTTCTCAGCCGTTTTCTTATGTTCTAAAATGGAAAAGTAAATAGTGTGGGCAATATTTATTCTACCATGTATTTTATATTTTGTAGGGGAAAGAATCCTGAACATTGCCAAAGACTTTAGTACAACCTTCAAAGATCAACCCAATTTCGGTATCTTCTGGATGAATACCTTTAGTCACAACTACCTTAACTCGCCCAGTCGCATGGACCAAACGTTTAAGAAATTTATGGAGGATTTAAAAACCGAGGGAATTTTAGATCGCAGCATGGTAGTATTATTGGCTGACCATGGTATGCGATTTGGTAGAATTCGACAAACTATCCAGGGATGGTACGAAGAACGACTTCCCATGAATTTTATATCCCTTCCGCCATGGTTTAAAGAAGAGTACCCCAGGAAATATCAAAATTTTAAAAGATAATTCCAAGAAACTCACTAGTACATACGATTTGTACCTTACACTGCAAGATATCTTAGCGATGTCTGTGGATAATTACACAATGACAGGAAGTAAAGCTTGTGCAACTTGTGCATCATTTTTCGCAGAAATTCCTGAAAAGAGAAGTTGTGCTAAGGCAGGAGTTCCTGAGAGATGGTGCACGTGCATAGGAAAATTCGAAAATAACCATACGGATTTAACGCCAGAGATTCAGAAAGCGGCTGCTACGTTTATTATGGATTCTGGTGTCTTACGCCCATCTAATACCAGTATTAATAAAATTGAATCTGCAAGTATTACATATTTTAATAAGAAAATGTATTTAAAGTTTTATTTTTGAAGCTGACAATTATTATCTATATTTAGTAGTATTAAGAGCAACGTCTAATCCTATTAAATTTGTAAGGGTTGTAAATATAGTTCAATTGTGGAAAAAGAATCCTATTAGTTTTAAATAAAAATATTTTTTGTATATTTGTGTTATTATATATCTTTACTACTACCTACCAATTCCAGGTAAATGATTTCAAAAAATAATTAAAAAAATTAAAACTTTAGAATAATAACAAAATACCACAACGCCACAACATTAAACCATAACACGCAACTATAAAATAAATTCTTTGAGTAAGAAAAAATTAGATGTCATCATCATCATCATACCGCATGCATTATTCGAAGGTATATTTTTAGAGATAGCCAAGGTTTGATAAAGGTCCAGTCCAGTTTGATAAAGGTAAAATCCTATCTATAAAATTGGCTTCTTTATGGCTCAGCACGCAAGCCGATATATTAACGACATACAATGCTACCATAATACGATACGCTTATGATACCCATCATTATAATCTTTCACACCAACCACAATATTGCTTTGCGACCACTTCAGGGAATCCTATACATCATCGAACAACGGTTAAAACTATTTTTTTTTAAATTAGGGTTTAAATGAAAATAATCCTATACATGGTCCATTGACAAACTGTAGAGATTCTGTTAATCAATAACTCCTAAAAATCAACAATTACCTCAACAAGAAGATGTCGAATACTTGCGTATGCATTTAAGTAGGAGACTTACATGAAAAAAACATATCTTTGGCAAAAAAGCAACTGAGATTTATTTATAATAAGCAGATGTTACTGACTCTACTGATCTAAATAATAGATTTTAAAGTGCACTAAACATATATTTCTAAATCAAATCAATAATTGTTGCTAAAAAAGACAACAAGAAAATCGAGACAATACATTTAGGAATCTGAAGAAGTATGCATTTAAGAAGTTAAATATAATTAAAATAGTCTCACATTATCATTGGTGTGCGGAAGAAACTACATTATAAAAAGTTAATATCACCAATTCATTTTAAGCTCGACTATAAATGGTTTATCTACATATCTGCAACTAAATCAACCCTAAGTTCAATATGTCCAACAATTCTATTCACTTTCTTCTATTCACTCCTTTAATACTATATTCGCCAACCATCCCCTCGTCCAAAATATTTATGACATATATCAACTTCTTTTAGCCCACAATAGAACAGCGTAATATAAAATACCATCCCATTTCACGAATAGGAGTAACAAAAATGCCAATTGCCTTGCCAAAAAACCGCATTACAGACGAAACACCGTTATTAATATACAAATCTGCAACAATCGAAAAGATAAACTACTAAAGCAGCTTAATCTATCCTCCTGGAAAATTCACTGAAATAAAGACACAACCTTTACGAAAGTGCTGAGGTCCTGATAAAAACACAATTCCTCGGTTCTAGCGACTCAACAGCACCAAAACTGGACGTGAAAAGAGAAAAAAGCAATTACCACCCTCAATATAACGAACTGGCATCTCGCACAGAACAATGATTAACGAGGAAAAGATAAAATGGGTCCATATTGTGCTTCAACCTTTCAAATCAACCGGCGGCATATATCCAGCCATACTACGGTGGGGTCTGGATACGCTTCTGCGCACCTTATGGAAATATTCAGAGCTTCTTTGAGTCTGAGATATATTCCTAGGAAGTGGAGAGAGGTTCGTGTGGTCTTCATACACAAAAACCAGGTAGGATGGACTACACCCTATCAAAGGACTTTCCGATCAATTAGCCTAACATAGAGCGTTTGATAAAACCGCCAAGCTTCAGGAATGTTCCCCTGGCAATAAGCGAATGGATATTCAGTATGCTCGCTAATAGAGCAATAAGAATAAATATAGAAGACATTTCTGTTAAAGGCGTGGTTTCAAGGGGGTGTCCACAGAGGAGAGGTGCTATCACCACTCTTCTGGAACATAGTTTCGAGACACCCTGGTCGACCAACTCAGCAGCAATTGGTTCTACACAATAGCCTACGCAGACCATATTGCTGTCCTGCAAAGCGGTAAGTTTGAGAACACACCATGTGAGAGATTACAAGTTACCCTCCGATTAATAGAAACATGGTGTAAGGAACACTTACTATGTATAAATCCTAAGAAAACAGAGATGGTCCTCTTTACCAGGAAAAGAAAAATCAGGGCAAAGGATTCTAAACTAGTCTAATTTTTTCTGACTAGGTGAAGTACTTTAGTATTCCCCTTGACAGAAAGTTAAGATGGAACTCACACTTAGATGGTAGAGACAAAAGAGCATATATTGCCTATGAGCAAAGTCGACGAACAGCCGGGACGCACCTAGGGCCTTTCGCCCAGGGTGATCGCCTGTGTCTACACTGCTGTCATTAGGCCAATGCTAACTTACGGAGCTATTACTTGGGTACCAAAAGTGCTACAGGCAACAGAGATTAACAACTAAACCATATTCAGCAGGTGGCTTGTATAAATCTAACAGGTGTCATTAAAAAACAACACCAACTGCTGCAATGGAGTTGATCATTAGCATCACGCCTCTAGACATATATATCAGAGAGGTGACAATGATGCGGACTGCGTTCAGCTGGTGTAAACCTTGATGTTTCTGGTGCGGGAAAGCTGGATGCGGTACCCCTGCTACAGGCAGACTGCGACTCAATTGAACCAAAGTGTGTATGGAGACAAGCGTGGCAAATGCCTATTGCATATATACCGATGGCTCCAAAATGGAAGAAGGCTCAGGATGCGGGGGGGTAACTTCAGATCACTAACCTAACAATAAAGTGGGGGTTTGGACAAAAATGCCAGCGTAGTTCAGACAGAACTGGCTGGTATCTCCATAGCCGCAAAAGACGTAACCCAAAAAGGTATAGCAGGAAAAACTATAATAACGTCACAATATACATAAACTATAATATCACAGATAGCAGACAAGCGCTACTAACCTTAAATAGAGCACGTGTCACAGTAAAGGTTAGTAACGAAGTGTCACGAGTCAATAACTCAAGATTAGGATGGTAATACCATCATCCTGAGGTGGGTTAAAGGACGCGATAGGAATAAAGGCAACCGCATTGCTGATAAATTGGCTGGGAAGACGGCAGTCCTAAGACTAAGCTGGAGAGAGTCATTAAAGAAGCGATGGAAGGAAGCAAGATTGGTCGCCAAGATGTCAACAGGATACCATATTGGTGGAATGCGGACATCGAGGCACTGAGAAATGTATGTATAACAATGGACAAGAAGGTTAACAAGAGCACGAGGCAGAGCAGGAATCAATCCTGAGGTCATCGAGGAGATCGAGGAAGAGTACCGCGCAAGGAAGAGGGAACTGTACAGAAAAATTCGTACAGGAAAAAAGAAGGCACTGGAAAGAGCTGTGTGAAAAACTGGATGAGGACATCTGGGGTCAGGGATACAAGATCGTTATGAAGAAGTTCCATGAGTATCCTCCTTACGAAATGCCTATGGACAAGACGCTTGAATGTAACAAGAGAGCTCTTTCCGGACGGCAGATGTCATGGTGTATGGAGGGATGAAGGAGCTGAGCGGGCTGTACCTTTTACCATGGATGAACTTGTCGAGGCATTGGGTTCACTCAAGACTCGTAGGTCCCCGGACTGGATCAGATATCACCTGAGGCGGTGAAGGGTCTAGGATGGGTGGAGCCTGCGTGGCTTCTAGAACATATGAATGTATTGCTCGAAGCACAAACTTTTCCTGAGCCTTGGTAGGACATCGAGGTTAATACTGATTCCCAAAGCTAGGGAGAAGTATCGCCCCATCTGTCTTCTTCCATGCATCAGTAAGCTGTATGAAAGGATGCTGCGAGGTACGCATAGAACGACATGATTGAGAGGTCAGGTGGTTTATTCTCGGAGACAATTTGGTTTTTGTAAAGGGAAAAGCACGATTGTATGCAATTCATGAGTGTACTCGAAGCATTGCGCAACAGAGGGAATGAACATCGATGGGCGGCCCTGATGTTGTTTGATGTTAAGAATGCATTCAATACCGCTGCAGTGGAACGAGGTATTGCAAGGCAATGGAGGAGAGGAGAATGTCCTGGTTACCTGATGAATGTTGTGGCGGAGTTTCTGTCCGAGAGAATGATTATGGTGGAAAAGGGCACGATCGTGGACGTGACGGCCAGGGTACCCCAGGGATCTGTCTTGGGCCCGACGCTATGGAATTCTGGCATATGACGGGGCTATGCACTGTTAATACGGAGAGGGTACAACCCCATTCGCATTCGCGGATGACCTCGCTGTACTGGTAGTAGACTGGGATGAGCCAGATCTCAAATACCGGGTTCGGAACGCAGGTGGCGTCGTAAAGAAATGGATGACGCAGCACGGACTAAATCTTGCGACAGAAAAAACCGAAGCCATCATTCTGAAGGGGACAAGGAACAGGCAAGGTGTTGAATTAAAATGTACGGGAGTATGTCTAACACCCAAGAAACAAGTAAAGTACCTAGGAGTGACATTACACCAGAATGGAAAATGGGGGGAGCACGTTCGGGGGGTGGTCCGAAAGGCTGCGAATAGTGCGGCTGTGTTGGGAGAGTGATGCCGAACATTGGAGGACCCAAATCCGAAAGGAGGAGGGTCTTACACGGTGTTGTACAGTCTATCGTCCTCTACGCGGCACCAGTCTGGAGCGAGGCGGTAGAGATAACGGCCTATAGGAGTCTTATGAAACGAGTAGACAGAACAAGTCTGTTGCGAGTGCAACAGATACAGATGAATGCCTATATTGTGGATACTCGGACACTGTGACACATACGATGTTAGATTGCAGCAGATGGATAAGTGGAAAGGAACAGAATGGAGAGAGAGAGACAGGTGTAAATTTTGTTACAGTGAGAGAAATGATTGAGAGAATGATTGAAATAAATTAGGTTGGATTAACATACACAGTTATATCCGTGCAGTGTATCAAGAAAAAGGAAGAGGAAGAAAGACAGATGGACCAAACGGCAAGGTAGAGTGAATGATGCTGAAAGGTGAAGTATAGAACAGTGGGTCACAAATTTTTGGAGTTAGAATGCGTGAGTTTGACTGTGGGGAAGGAGGAAATGCCCTTCTGGGAATGATGCCGAACTAGGAGTGTGGATGTGTATAAATGGAGAATGAATGAATAAAGGTAGTGCTTCGGAAGTGATGCCGGCCTTACAGCGGCATTCCGCTTCCGGATCGCTGGATGACAGAGAGGGTCTGGTTTAGCAGGTAGGGCGTTCGGCGTAGACTCGGCGACGAGAGGGCATTTTAAAGTACCTCGGGAACTATCGCCGGGAGGTACGAAGAACGAATCCTGCACTAAGGTTAGTCAGGCTGCGTCCTGGACTGAGATGTCTTTTGAAGATTCCATACCCCCCGCTCTATAATGACGAAAAAAAAAAGTCCTACGACCTCTTAGAACCTGGGGATCTTTTTGGTTCATCAACTACAACAATCGCGGAGATTGTCAAAATGTCACTCTCATACGCAAACCGTTAAAAAAATGGGAAGAAGAACAACGATGTAGACTAGCCTGGGTAACACTAAGTAACCTTGAAAAGTCAGCATTAAAGAAGTACTTGGGAATGACTAGGAAAAACCTACGCTTGACAGTTGGTTTTTCAACAGGTCATTGTCAACTGTGAGCAAATAGATGCTCACAGTTCAGATTAATTAGCCTGATGAGCCATCAGGCTCATCAGGCTAATTAATTTGGATTAATGGGACAATCAATTTGGATTTCGAATGGGGCTTGGTACAATGGAGGCATTATTTGGCCTCCATGATATTATTACAAAAAATGCTGAGATCAGCGAAAAGACGTGTTTCTCTGTTTTATTGACTACGAAAAAGCGTTGGATAAAGTAAAACACACAGAACTCATAGAAACCCTAACACAACATGGTATAGACCATAATACTGTAGCACTTATTAAAAAACTATATTGGGATCAAATGGCGTCGATCAAAATTGACAATCGTCTGACAGCAGATTGCCAATAAAAAGAGGAATTCGTCAGGGCTGTGTACTTTCTCACTGTTATTTAATATATATTCCAAAAAGATCTTTCAAAGTGCCCTCGAAAATATTGAAGAAGGAATAAAAATCAACGGAGAATACGTAAACAACTTAAGATACGCAGACGACACCGTCATTATTTTCGACAGTGCTGAGGGTTTACAACGACTTTGGGATGTCATAATCAGAGAGGGAGATAGCTTGAGACTAAATATAAACACAAATAAAACAAATGTAATGGCTGTTTCACAGTGCACCAAATGTCGACATTAATATTCGTATCTATAACAAACATATAGAACTAGTACAAAGATTCCAGTATCTTGGCTGCTGGATTACAAACGATCTTGACCACGAGGTCGAAATACGTGCTCGTATAGAATATGCTAGGTCCGCATTTCAACGAATGAAAAAATTCCTAATAAACTCTACGTTATCGTTGGATATCTGACACCAATTTGTAAAAACGTTTATTTATTTCATATTGCTATACGGAGTGGAAACATGGACTCTCGGAATTACAAGTATGAGGCGTATAGAAGCCTTTGAGATGTGGGTTTTTCGAAGGAATGCTGAAGATCTCTTGGACAGAGCACGTGACCAACGAGGTGCTAAGAAGAATGGGTACTGAAAGGGAACTCCTAAATATTGTAAATAACAGGAAAACGAGTTATCTACGACCTATTTACAGAGGAGAAAAATACAACTCCCTACGACTTATAATCGAAGGAAGAAGAAAATGCTCCTGGTTGAAGAATGTAAAGAGACTGGACAGGTATGGACACACATTCGATACTAAGAACAGCTCAAGATAGAGAGCAATTTGCTGTAATTATGGCCAACCTTCAGTAATGGAGAAGGCACCGTAAGAAGAAGACATTGTCAACTAAGTTAGCAAACACTCCCACACACTGGGGCTAGTAGACACACCTCTATGTAGGAAGTATGAACGAGAAGACGAAACTGTATGTTCTCTAAAACTTGAAAGTGTGTTAATTTTTATTAAAATCAGCTAAGTACTTTCAGCATGCCACATGCCATCTTCAGAACTTCGTCTTATCTTATAGTCTAAGGAACCTACGAGTATTTTCCGATCTCAAATGCTTATAATGCCCAGACATATATCTTCGTTCAAGGTCCAAGCTTTAACACCATAAAAAAGGACAGAGAAGAAATACAATCGCAGCATTCTTACTTTTATACCAAGAGAGAGGTTGTTGCTCTCGAGGAAGGCTGGATTTTAAGGTGGATCTAGCTTTTCCGATGCTGCAATGCACTCTTTCTCCTGTGGTTTGGTTGACGTAGAGGATTTGTTAATAATACTAAAAATCATTTGGTTTTATGATGTATATTTTAATTATTTATAAGACACAGTGATTTTATAATACATAAAACTATATTATTAACTTGTATATTAAACAATTTTATATGAAAAAAGGGTTGGTATCAAAAATTTGATAACTAGTAATAAAGTAGATAGTTATATGTTAATATAAAAAAGTAATAAAGCAATTGATAAAAAATAGTAGATATAAAAAAGACTCTCATAATAAAACAGGTAGCACCGAACTGTATTAAATACAAGTAAGATGTATAAAAATCTTCTAAATGCAAATCTTATGATCCCTAAAATAAACTCTGTCAATTAGTAACACTCTATTTTAATTGTGCATTGACTGAAACAACTACAACCTTTTTTCAAAGACTAGTTGGAACAAAATCAATACTTACTGTACATTATCCACTTAGATATTTGAATGTGATTTTTAGTCAAGTCAGTTGTAATATCTACGTGTGATTTAAAAAACACGCTGTGAAGATTAAAACAGATTAATATTATTTCACGTTGTATTAACTATTAAAATTATGAACTATTAAAACAGAAATCAATGCGTGTTCGAAAATATTTCAAAATGTGCGCATATGTATGTAATAAGTAGGTGAAATATACAGCAAACATAAGTTATTAACTATTTTGTAAAGCAGATAGTGGGCAATTAGAAAGAGTTAGTGTCCTACACAAGAACATTGCTATTCTTAGAACACTAAAGGGTGGTTTAACCTGTTAACAAAACAATTTGAATACAATCTTATTATAAATTCAGATTTTATGTTTTGGATTATTAAATTTTATTTGATGAGAAAACATATAAACAATTGAGATTTAAAATAATAACACATTTTAATTTATAATTTGAACAAACCATCGAACTAATGCTTTTACCGAATATAGTCTTAATTTACGATCCAAACCCTTTCTGATTTTTGAAAGTTATTTTTTGATAGTTTTACCATCCCTTTACCCTCAAGATCCCGTGGATTGACCGCTAATGAAGAGGTCTTTAGAGGAATGAGGAAGAATCAAGAGGTACTGAACACCATCAACTCTCGAAAGCTACAGTAATTCGACACATTATGCGAAATGAATCCAGATTCCTGCAGGGAAGAATATTTGAAACGCGAGGTCAACGAACAAGAACGTCCTGGTTAAAGAATCTCATAACCAGATTCAATACAAGATTATGTAACATTTCCGCGTTGCTGCAGACAAGATAAAGATTGCCATGATGATCGCCAATATTCATCACGGATATGCACATTAAGAAGAATTTCTAAAATAACGTATACTATTTTGCCGGTATACAGCCATAGTGGCAGATAAGGTCGAAGATCTTCAATGCCTTTTAAATGATCTAACTCTTGCAAGTGAAGCTCGGGGTTTGAAAATAAATATCAAGAAGACAAAATCAATGATTATAAGTAGAAATGATTACCGCAACGCAAAGATATATGTCTCTGGAGAAGAAATCGAACAAGTCAGGCAATTCAAATACTTGGGATGTTTGCTGAATGAGGGTTGGGACCCCGAGAATGAAATAAAGAGCAGAGTTGAACAAGCCAGAAATGCTTTTTTGATTCTTCGTAAGTTTCTGACTGATCGCAAATTGGACTTCAACCTCCGATACAAGATGCTTAAGTGTTACGTGTGGTCTGTTCTCCTGTACGGAATGGAAGCATGGACATTAAAGGTCCGATCCATAACAAACTTGAAGTGTTTGAAATGTGGTGCCTGCGTCGAATGCTCAGAATATCATGGACGGACAGGGTCAGAAATGAGGAAGTACTCAGAAGAGCGGGCTTACAGGATAGGGAAACTTTTTAATTATGTAAAAAGTAAGAAGACTGCATACTTGGGGCACATTATACGAGGGAGAACGATACACTTTTCAGCAACTGATACTCGAAGGGAGATAGAGGGTAGGAAGGTCTCGGACGTAAAAAAAATGTCATGGCTGCGCAATATTCGATAATGGACAGGAATCCACAGCTATGAAATGCTTCGCAATGCTGCTAAAAACAGAATTATTTAATCCAGAATATTTAACATCTCACCTGACAAGACGATGTACGGTGGGCGCCTACGCAGAAATGCACGGCACCTTAAGAAGAAGAATTTTGCCGGTACACATGTGAATATCAATGTTACCATGTGATAACGCCAGTCAAAGATGGGCGATAATTGAGAAAGTATTGTTTTTATCACATACGTGAGTTTATATTGACTATGATAAAGGTATATAACGAATATATAGACATGCTCTCATAAATGAAGACTCAAGTGAAGAGGCCTTCCTTTGACGACTGAAATGGAAGTCAATCCGACTTCGCCAGGGAAACAAAGGCATTGTAGAAGAAGAGCTGTTATATATAACATGTATAACGGCTCTTTACTCTACATCGGTTTTAACCTCTTCTAACCACTTCGTTTTTGGTCTTCCTCGTCTGTACTTTCGTTTAGCAATATTTGTTTGATCGTAAAAATTCTGATCAATTGTAGGCCTTCCTCTTCTAAACACTCTCTGATATTTACCTATTATTTCAGATTCAAATTTTGTTAGTCGGTTTCTTATCAATAAAGCAAATTTTTTTATATGCTACATCCTCTAAAGCAATTTCGGCATTGGTTTTTTATACCCCTTTGTGCGGATCGGACATATGGATGCATTTTTCCAGCATTGTGGTAATTTTTCATTTTTCCAAATTCGTTCTATTAGGTTGGTTATTCGTTTGAGCAATAGCTGTCTGCCTTCCTTGAATATTTCTGCTGTTATACCGTTATCTCCTGGACTCTTATTTATTTCCTGTATCTCCTGATCTGATGGTTCATTTATTTCGGCCTCATTATTGCTTGGTTTGGTCGGGTTTGTGATTGCATTTCATTGGTATTTTCCTGTGGGTTCAGCAGTTCCTCAAAGTATTCTGCCCACCGCTCTATTTTTCTTGGTAAGTCACCTATTAGCTTGCCTTCTTTACTTCAGAAGCAGCATGCGCATTATTATTAAATTTATTTAAGAGTAATTCATTAAAAATTAAAAATGTATAACAGCTTTACCAAAATCTTTTTAAAAAAATGACATTACTAAATTTGAAAATTATAAATCCACCAGCCTCTTGACACATATGTACAAACTCTTTATGAAAATAATAACAAAGAGAAACTTGATTTCTGTCAACCCAAAGAACAGTGAGGCTTCAGAGCAGGATATCGCACAAATGACCATTTGCATATTTTAAAGATATTAATTGAGAAATACATCGAGCACTACATAGCACTGGCCCTTGCATTTGTTGATTGCAAGAAAACTTTTGATTCTGTAGAGTTCAAAAGGGTATTGGAAGTATGTACTAAAACAAAGCCGAAGAGATTACAGGTACACGCCACTAATCAGAATCAGCAGAAACACAAAAACATTCAGCTTGGGTCGAGGAGTAATATTTTACTAAAATTGTTCAAGGCAGCTCTACAGTCAATATTTAAAAAACACTTAATAGCAAGATATGGCCATCAATATAGATGGAGAAAGATTAAGTCATATGAGGTTTGCTGATGACATTGTATTAAAGTCTGAAAGAGTAGGATTAAAGATAAAACTAAAACTATTTGCAATAATACCATACAACAAACATACAATTACAAATATCTGGAATACGATATCAAAATAAGTAGAGACAGTCAAACAAATGATATACAACAAAGAATAGGTCTGACATGGAAATAGTTTGGCAAACTAAATCATATTTTAAGTCAAGAAGTTCAAATCTTGCACAACAATAACTAGACCATATAGAAGATTGCTAATTTGTTATGCTTATAAAAAGCACTACACCTAACATACTTCAGAGAATTTAAATCGGATTATTTGGGTAACCTCAAGAATGTTTTATTTGGTATATAAACAAATAGAATAACTCGGTAACTATTAGCTTAAATTAAATTCAGAAAACGGCATTGGAAAAGACTCGACAAGACGCTTTCTTAACAGAAAAAAACGAGAACCACGAGCAGTGGTTCCTCAGATACAACAGGTCAAAGTTGACCGGCATTTGCAAGTTATAAACAATAGGACGATAATATTTAAACCATTACAATGAAAAAGACAGCAAATATTTGATTTCACGCAAACAGCGTCTATGTATCTGGTGATACGTATTTCAACCTAATAGGTCTCATCAGAACAGTTATTCATAGGTGTTCTCAACGTGAAAAATCAATATTTTCTGTCTTTTAAGAAGCAACACTAAAATGGCTTCGATATGGGATGCAATAGCGACATCTGATAATAAATCCGTAAACCATTACCTCTTTCTCTGAGAGTCCTTTCTCGATAAAAATTTTCATATTTTTAAGATATTTATAACATGTTATAATAAAAAAACCATCGGTATTGCCCATGAAAAATACCAAATAAATTAGCTCGAAGAAAATTGAATTTTAAAGTTCAAAATCGGTATACGTAAAAAAAGGTATTTTCTCGGCTTCCAATGAACCAATTTTCTTCATTTTTTTTAAACTGATGTAACTCGGATAGAGACACCTAAAAACGCATTACCAAATCCAAAAGATGCTTTAGTTTTAGTATAAATAAATTAATCAATACTCCAGTCGTCAGAGAGAAAAATGCCACTGAACCTTTAAAATTTTTTTAGGGAAAAGCCCGGGAGTAAGAGTGATAAACTTTTTTGAAAAATTTTTTGGGTAACCAAAATTGATATTTCCAGCAAAATTTAGCTCGTTGTATGATTTTAAGAGGTCAAATCTCTGACGACTGGATAATTGAAAATAATGTACAAATAAGTTCTAAACATATCTTCAAAAAGGTTTAATCAGTCATACATTAAGGTCAAAGTTATAGCTGTTCGAAATATTAAATAACGACAATAACAGAGTTAGTATAAAAACTAGGTACACAAAGTAGTCGTTTCAGTGATGATTTTTTATTTTAACATAATTGGTAAGAACTAAAAAGGAAGGAAAGGCTTTGCATATGTTAAAAGATATGCAAAGGCTACTCCACAACAGAATGTTAACAAGTGAGACATGAATCTTCCACGAATGTCCAAGCCAGGAGTCAGCAGTAGTTGCAAGTACTTAAGTTTGCCTGTTGTATAAGGAGGATATTTAGCTGAACTCAGCAGCTCTCCGATATAACCCAAATTCTTGTGCAGTACGCTCTTCTTGTGTACGAATGTCTCGTAGCTGTATTTACCATGGTAGTGTCCCATACCGCTGTTGCCCACACCTCCAAAGGGTAAACTAAGGGTTACTATGTGCATGATTGTATCATTGACACATACACCACCTGATGACGTATTGTTTAGAATTTGATTAACATCCTTTTTGTTATTTGAGAATACATACAGTGCAAGAGGTTTTTCCCTTGAGTTTATAAATTGTATGGCATCGTAGGCACTTTCAACGTTAACGATTGGAAGAATGGGTCCAAAGATTTCTTCTTGCATAACAGGATCTGAGGGTTTGACATTTGTTAAAACAGTAGGGGAGATGAACCTTTCACTGGGATCGTATTCTCCTCCAACAGCAACATTAGCATCTAAAACACAAATAAGAATTAAAAACAGTAAAATACAATCGTACAACTACTTTAAAATTACAAAAAACAAACGAATTATTTGATTATGCAATGCGCGTTTAAAGCCTCGCATCACATATATCATCAAAACCTCCAGCTTTTTTCTCTTTCAGCTTTTCCTTATATCCTATAATAGCCGTCGGAAGTACTTACACTTATTATTTTAGTCATTCTTTTAATTTATTCCTGTCCCCTTGCAACGTATCAAAAAATCGACATGTTACAGTTCTTTAAATTTCTTTAAATTTTGTCAAACCAGAATCAAACTTTGTTGTAAAAGGAATTATCATAAAAAAAATTGATTGTCCAGGTTTTATAATTTCAAATTTACTTATATTTTGCAAAATTTTGTAAAACCTTAGACAAGGAAAGAGAGGGGACACTTAATCGTATGGAATTGACTGAAGCCTAAATTGATACCAACCGGCACCAAAAAAGTTGTCAGATCATATTTTATTTCTTTAGTAGATTGAGAATAATGGATATATTTTAATAAATAGATTTTTTTTAAACAAAACAAAATGACGGTATTAGATTTTGATTTGATACAGAGCAGCAACAAGTCGCATATACGTATTTAGATCTCTTTAGATCTCCTCAGTACGGTATAGCTACTACTCCATATCAAACCAAAATATTTTCCCGTCGTAGATTATAGTTATTAAAAATAACTATTTTCGGACGTAACTACGCCATCTAAGAACAAAAAGAGAAATCATACGATTTCTACCTGGCGAAATCGAATTCAAATATAAGCCGCCGTGCTCCCTAAACTTGCGAAGCAAACTGCTATACCGTACTGAGGAGATCTAAAGAGATCGAAATACGTATATGCGGCTTGTTGCTGCTCTGTATCAAATCAAAATCTAATACCGTCATTTTGTTTTGTTTATTTACTTCATTTGGAGTACCAAAAATCGAATTAACTACGAATATAGGCCATGATGAACGGCATTTGGAGTGCAATTTTTAGACTCCCTTGCCGATTCAATCATCAAGCTGTTTGCTTCGCAAGTTTAGGGAGCACGGCGGCTTATATTTGAATTCGATTTCGTCAGGTAGAAATCGTATGATTTCTCCTTTTGTTTTTAGATTTTTTTAATTTATAATTGAACACTGACATTGTGATTACTTTTTGAACATGATTTTATCATCACATAATTTTTATTAGATCGATATAGTGTTTCAGTAAATCAGTAAATTGAAGTTGAAATCAGTAGATTTACTGAAAAATCAGTAGACCTCGTAACCTGCGAGAGGTAGTAACGGGCAAAGTACAGTCAAAAAACATGTGGTCACATTGAAACTGGCTTCACTTTTCGAAGGTTTATGGAATGAACGTTACCCGCCCTCTATCTTTCCTTGTCTAAGTGTAAAACATACAGCATAGTTACTCATTCCTTCTACATATTTCCCATAATACCAGTTTATGACTGCTTTACGAAATTACTACTGTAAAAATATCGTTAAATAATTATTTTCGACCACCCTCGATAATCTCTTTGAAAAAAGGGGCACAGTAGGCGGTACTGTTGGCTAGCGCGAAGCTTCATACTATATTTTTTGTATTTTTAAATTTGAAACAATATTTTTGAAATTGAATAATGTAATTATTTATTTTTTTTTTATTATAATTATGTTTATTTACAATCTACATCAAAAAAGAGTATTAAGTAAATGTGATTACAGGTTTTGCGCGTGAAGGGGAGACATCCAATGATGTCTCACCTTATTCTACTTTGGTTTAGTTCTGAAGAAGGTCTTGAGGCCAGGTTCTATGTAATCTTCTTGTGGCTGGTCCATTGTTGTACAGTTCCCTTACTAGCTCATTTTCGTGGTGAATGGTACGTTCATTTTGTGACTCGTGGCTCGATGAATTTCTTCTCTGATGAAAGGAACCTTTAAGTCATTATGGAGTGTTTGGTTACTTACGTACCATGGCACATCCACTATCGATCTTAGTACTTTAGACTGGAATCTTTGGATAATATTCAGCGACGTTGGTTTTGCACAAGCCCATAGGTTGTAGTCCGTAAACCAGATAGGTTTGAGTATGGCTTTGTATAGAAGAATTTTGTTTTGGATGTTAAGTTTTGATTTACGTCCAAGAAGCAATACATTTGTCGGAATTTAAGTCGAGCTGCCTTCTTTTGGTCTGGATATGTTTCTTCCAAGTGAGTCGTTGGTCAAGATGGAGGCCAAGGTATTTAGCGTCTGTTACTGTTGGTATTCTTATATTTTCCATCTTACAGGTGGGCATATATTGTGACGGTTGGTAAATGTTATTTGAGTTGATTTTGTTTTATTTACTTTTGTTCTCCATTTTGTATACAATCACTGAGTATGTTCAGATGATGTTGCAGGTTTTGTGAGGCTTGTATGGGATCTTCATTTACGGCTAGTATTGCTACGTCGTCAGCAAAAGAAGCGATTGTAGTATTATTGGTCTCTGGTATATCGGCTGTGTAGAGTGAGAAAAGCAGCGGCCTAGAACACTACCTGCGGGACTCCGGAGTTGAAAGGACAGAGGTTGGATTGTTGGTCTTTGAATTTTACAGAGAAATATCTATTTGATATGTAGGATTTAAGTAGGAGGAAATAGTTACTGGATAGTGCTATTTTTACTTTGTAAAGCAGACCTCTGTGCCAAACTTTGTCAAACGCTTGTGAGATGTCTAGAAATACAGCGTTGCAGTATTTCTTTTCTTCAAGACTTTTTGATATTTCATTTATCATTCGATGAACTTGTTGGGTAGTGGAGTGATTTTCCCGAAAACCAAACTGATGTTTTGGAAGTAATGTAAGGAATTCATGATCTGCGTATATTCTTTGAAGTAGCAATCTTTCAAAAACTTTGCTTACGGTTGGGAGCAGGCTGATAGGTCGATAAGATGTTACTTCGTTGGGTCTTTTCCTGGCTTGAGGATCATAATGACTTCAGCAAATTTCCATATTTTTGGAAAGTATGATAAGCTTAGCATGCGGTTAAATATAACTGTTAGCAAAGTTATGGCCTTACGAGGAAGTTGTTTTAGTACTTGTGCCGAGATTAAATCATAACCTGGGGCCTTTCGTGAATTGAGTTTGTTTTATTCTTTCCTAACTTCTATAGGAGTAAAACTTTTAATTGGGGGGACATTTGACATGCTGCGCTAATTAGTTCTTCCACTTCTTCATCAGGGTCTGCTGGCTCTGTTTGAAATACGTTTGTAAGATGTTCAGCAAAACGTCAGCTTTTTCTTTGTTGGAACAGGCCCATTCGCCATTTGGTTTACGGATAGGAGGAATGGTTGTGTATGGTTTCTTTAGCTTCTTAGTGGCCTTCCATAACGTCTGGTCATTTGCTGTAAGATTTGTTATGTAATGTTCGAAGGTTTCGTTGTTTGCAGCTTTGATGGCTACTCCAAGTTGCCTTCGTAGTCTATTGAATATATGTAGGTCTATGTTATTTCTAGATCTTTGCCAAGTTCTCCTCGCACGACGTTTTTCAGCAATGAGTTGGCGAATGTGCAGGGGAACATTTGTGGTATGTGTTGGTTTGCGTTAGTTCGTGGTGTAGATTGCCATGCCGCTTTTTGCACAAGTGTGGTGAAGTATTGAGCTGCTGTATCTATGTTATGTATAGACTTGATCCGCTGATTAAGATGGGTGTTTTCTTCTAGGTAGGATTGAAATCTGCCCAGTCGGTGTTTTTTGACGTGAGTCGAGGAGGTGGTGGGCTGTTTATAACTGTGGTACTCAGGCTCATAATAACCGGTGTATGATCCGATGAGAGATCATAGCTGGATTCTATTAGACAGTTGGTTCTGGACACTCCTTTGCTTATGTAGTAGTCCAGCAGATCTGGAAGTTTTCTTGGATCACTTGGCCAGTACGTTGGGATTCCGTTGGTGTGGCAATCATAGTTGTTGTCGGTCATTGCTTTTAGAAGATTACGACCTTTTGTTGTTATGAGTCTTGAGCCCCAGTGTATGTGTTTCGCATTCCAGTCTCCCCGGCAACGAATTTGCTGCCAAGTAATTGGAAGAAGGCTTTGTATTCATCTGTGGAGATTGTGTGACGAGGTGGTACATGCAATGTTAGTGCCATGGGTTGAACGATTGTTGCTTGTATTTTTTCTGTTGCATAATTCGGCAATACATGATGTGATATGCAGCTGCGGATGATTACCGCGAGCCACCATGAGCTGTACCATCAGGATGAGGTGTGCTGTATGTGGTATAGAGCGGAATATTGAACGTAGTCAGATCGGTAAAGTGAGTTTCTGAAATAAGCAGAACGTCAATTTTATTTAAGTTTAAAAAAGTAATTACTTCTTGCTTATGGTTTAGCAGGCCGTTAGCGTTCCATGTGGCAACTCTAAGTATGTTTAAGAATTTCTTTGGTTAATGACTTGTGTTAGTAAGTTTAATATCATACTGTTTTGACTCATGAGTTGCGAGAACATGTTTTTGAACTCGTTTAGGAATGTTAATAGTTGTTGTTCTATATTAGTTTTAGGTTCTGAATCGTGATTTGTTTGATTTGCTGTCACGTTTGCATATGTTCTTTGATGGTTTTGTAGAGTATTTAGCTGATTTGTTTCAGTATATACATGTGGACTGTTGAATGTTGGTCTTTGAGGCTGTTGGTTTCCTCTTTTCTGCAAATGTCTGTTTTCTACTAGTTCCCTGTAGACTACACAGCCTTTATAGTTAGCAGGGTGACCTTTTTGCATAGTGCACACTTAGCTGGAGTGCTTCTAGGTTTTTTACAATCTTTTGTATTGTGTTGTCCTCCACATTTAACGCAGTAATGCGGTTTAGTGCAATATGTTTTACTATGACCATATGCTTGACATCGCATGCATTGAATGATTGAGTTTCTCTTATTTGGTGCCTCGACTGCTATTTTGGTGTGACATAAGAATTCTAGGTTGAATATGTCTTTGTTGTTACTGTTGGGTTCAAGATCTATGAAAA